CAGGGGAGTCACCTGGGGGTCTCCAGTCATTTGAGAGGCCCCCTCCCATTCACTCAGGTAAGATTGCTTCAATCACCCATTGTGGGCCAGGTGTGAATCCAGGCACATGGTATCCAAAGACAAACCCAGTGATAAACTCCCTGAGCATTTAGACCCTGGTTGGTCCAGGAGACAAACAATAAACCAACAGGCCCCCCAAATCCAGAAATTACACACTGTGTAAAAAGCCATACATGCTATGGAAAGTCACAAGGCTGCAATTGTAAACAGGCTGAACGGGGTAAATTGTACTGGGGATGTGAAGGAACAAAAGTCTTACAGATGTCAGGGTGTGAATCCCAGGTAGACAAACAGCCAGTGCAAAGGCCCTGGAGTAGAATCATGCTTAGCATGTTGGCAGAGCAGCAAAGAGACAGGGGCCAAGGGGGAAGAGGTGATGGGTTTGTGCAGGGCCAGACCCCAGGATTCCCTGTGCCTGGGACTGCTATAGTGCCGGATGTAGGGGCTTCTGCCTTCGGAGTCTGGGGCTGTCCCTCCCCAGCTAAGATCCTGGCCATTCTGGAGGGGATACAAAAGCCTTTTCTCTAACTCCTATGATATGAGCCCCTTGACTGCAGTCACTTATGTGAGCACCGTAAGAACAGGACCTGGGCAATGTCCCCTCAGCATTCCCAGCCTGGCACTGGCTGAGGACACCTGGCAAGTGTTCACAGATTGCATGTGGAGGTGCACCCAGCCTCACTCCAAGGAGCCCTGTGTACGCACAGTTGGGTGCATGTCTGCCAGTGCACACAAGACACAGACAGCTGCTCGTGCACGGAGCCACAGACACACACAGGGCTGCCCCCTCTGTAAAATTCACGAATGCCAGCACCCAGGGGACCCTTGTGAACAGAGGACCAGCCCACTGGACAAGTGGTGGCATGCAGGCTCAGCTGGGTCACCACCCAAATCACACACAGAACAGGTATGCACAGGAGCAGAGAGCTGTCTGACAGAGAACAGGATTCCACGGGTGGCCAGACCCTCTCTCTCACCTCTCTTCAGCAACCCCACTCCCACCCCAGGACTCCTCTTTCCTCTTTTATAGGGGTGGCCTGACCTGGGGAGGGTTTCAGACCCAGGGAACCCCCACCGTGGAGGGGCTTGGAGGAGGGGAAGTGTCTGGCATCTGGAAACTGGGTCCTCAAGAGGAGCTCACACAGAAATCAGAGCCTTCCGTGTCCTTGGCCACACTGGCTAGAGAGCAGCAGGGGGCAGAGACCTCAAGCTCCAGCTTCCCAACAGCCAGTGGATAGGGCTGGGGGATCCCGTCTTTCCTGCTCCTTACTAGGGGTATCCAGTAAGGGGCCTGATCTGCACCCCCTCCTCCAAGTGCCCACACGGGGGCTGAAGCACCTCACACTCTCCCATCAACCTGGATGCGCAGGGAGGTCACAAACACCAGACTAGGCAGCAGGCAGCCCCCGTAAGCATGTGGAGGCGCCAGAACAGGAGGCCAGGAGTCTGGGCCACTAGATGCAGGATGCAGACAGACTCCTGAGCAGGCCAAGGCTCGGCGGCCCCTCCCCCTTGCGCCCGCTGGGTCCTCCTGGGGGGACCCCCAGGAGAAGGGGCTCCCCAGGGCAAGCTGGGAATAGAAACCCGGCTTCATGGAGTCTCCTGCCTCTCACCTCCTCCTAACAGCCTCAGGGGCACTGGTCCCCAGCTGCCTGCCCTCCCCCAGCCCTGGGCGCCAGCTCCACGCCCAAGGGCAGCCAGAGCATCAGCTCAGGAGATTGGCCATAGTGCCTTCTGCCAGCTCCCTACGGGTGGGTGTTGGGATGGGCACCCGTGGAGAGAGGGAAGGAGGGCCTGGGGGGCATTAGATGGCAGGAGGGGCCGGCACAGGGTGGGGGTGTTAGGCCCTGTGGGAGGTCACTGGGGAGAGCAGGAGGAAGGCGGGGGCCAGCAGGAGGGCTGGCACTCACATGTGAGCGCACATGGATGTGGCTCGGGGCAGGGGTGCTGCTACTGCCAGCCAGGGAACGAATTAGTTCCCTTTTCCGCTTTCCAGATGATTTTTCATCTCTGTAATTAATGGGCAAGTCAGTTCTGAACGGCATGGCAGGCAAATTGCTAGTTAGGAAAATCACGGATAATTTTCTCGATATGATAATGAAGGTTGTATTCCTTCTCTTATTCTCCCTATTTTCATCCTACTTTTAAGTAATAAATTCAGCATTAGGGGGAGGGGAGTGGGGAGGAAGGAGAGGTCCCCTGCCCCCGGAGCTGGGCCTGACCCAGGCCTACCCCGAGTCCTCGGCCCCAGGCCATGGTGCTGATGGACGGGATGAGCGATAAGGACCCTCCACGGGGCCCCCTGACACCCCAATAATCAATTCAGGGTGCCAGGCCTAGGAGAGCAGGTGGAGGGCAGGGAGCCCCCAAGCTACTGGGCAGGCCGAAGGGGTTGGGTCTGGGGCCAGGTTATGAGCCCAGGCAGGCTCTTGGGGGGTGCTGGAGAGGGGAGCCCAGGGCCCAGCGGCTTCTCCCTAAGCAGCATCGAGGTCAAGAGGCCCAGGGCAGACACCCACCCACGAGTGTCCCCGGTGCCCTCCCCTCATTGTCCAACCCCTCTCCTCCACTATTCTGGAAGGGAACAGAGCAAACGTGGGGGGAGACTGAGAGAGAGAGAGAGAGAGAGGGAGAGAGAGAGAAAGAGGGAGAGAGAGAGGGAGAGGGAGGCAGGAAGGCGACCAGCCATCTTGGCAGCCATTTTGAACCCCTCCCCCTGCTCCCCCAGGCCCACCACATGTTTGGATGTGGGCAGACAAACCCAGGTTCTGGGTCCTGCAGAAGGCAGGAGGAAAAGGGCCCTGCCTCAGGACTGGGATGGAGGGGCACCCACGCAGCTGCCATGGTGGGGGGAGGGGCGACCAGGAAGGTTCAGCGAGGTGCGGGCACGAACGGGGCGGGATCAGGATGACAGCTGACTCAGACTGGAGAGTAGAGGCAGGGGTGTGCGTGGTGCGTGCCGGCAGGGTGCTGTCTTCAGATGCGAGCCAGGGGTGCACGGTAGCAGTGCCTGCGCGGGGCATTTTCTGGCCACGGGGTGGGGGGTGGGGAGCGCACGGAGCACTCTCCATCTTCTTCGGCCTGGACTCCAGGCTCAGGACCCTCAGATGGGATGCCGACAACTGAACCCTATTGCTCTTCCCCATGAATACCTGGGGGAGGGCTCTCACCCTCAAAGCACGAATCTGTGTGGGATCCCGGTGGAACAAACCCGACAGCTTCCCATGCTTAACTGGGTACCGCGGAGAAAAAGACGCTGTCAGGCTGCACTCATCCTCCCGACAGCGGCGCCCCACCTCCCATACCAGGCTTGGAGCCAGCCGGACGCCCAGACCCCTCCCCATCCTCCGCACCTCGGCCTCCAGGAGAAAAACAACCCCCACAGCCTAGCGTCCTGCGGAGCCAGCCGCTAACGCGGCTCCTCCAGGGGCCGGGGCTCGCGCGCGGCGCGCACACGCACCCTCTTCGCTCACACCCAGACACCTACACAAACAGGGCGCCAAGCACCCGCGCGCACACGCACCGGGGACACGCAGGCACCGCCGCGCCGCTTCCCCACAAAGGCTGGCGCGCGCGCGGGCACACGCAGCCACGCGCGGGCACACTCGCGGTCCCCTCTCCCCCGCCGGAACCCCCGCGGCCGCCCATCCGCACCCGCGGCGCTCCGTGGGGGCCACTCCTCGCAGCCCCCTCACCGGTGGGGTGATGCGCAGGCCGACCCCGACTCCCCTCCGGCTCCGGTGCGCTGACCCACGGCTCCGGCATCCCCTCCCCCTTCGCGGCCCGGACAGGCCCGGGCTCCCATCCTCCATCCCCGCCTTAGCCCGCACACCTGGCCCAGGTGCGGCGTCCCCCTCTCTCTGGGCCCGCAGACTCACCTGCCCAGCGCTGCTTCGGCGTCGGCCCTGCTGGTCTCTCCGGCGGCTCCGCGAACGCGGGCCCCCCGCCCGGCACATCTCCCGGAACCGGAGCGTGGGGGAAATGGGTGAGGGATGGCGGGGCGAGTGCGGCCTCCGTGTCCCCTCGTTCTCACGGCCCAGCACCGCCACTACCAACCAAAAAATAAAAAAAAAAAAAAGCGGATTACACCACTCCAAAGGCGGCCCCCTCGCGGCGGCAAAGGTTCCGGACCTGGGGAGAGCGGGTCCGCGCCCCTCCCGAGGAGGGAGGCGGCAGGGGCGGCGGGGCGGGGGCGGTGTCAGAGCTCGGGGGGTTGGGGCGAGGAGGAGCCCCCCGAGGCGGCGCCGGCGGCGGCCCGCATCTCCCCCGCAGCTCCGCGGCCCCGACGGAGGAGGCACGTGTGCGCCCAGGCGACTTCCCAGCCCCCGACGGCGGCGGCCGAGGGGTTAACGCAGCATCCGGGGTGCCCCTGCAGCCCCCCGCCGCCCGGCGGCGCCGCTCCGGGGCCCGCGCGGCCCCATCCGCCAGGGCCTACTCGGCAGACGGAGGGGCGGGGGCGCTGCAGCGCCAACAGCTCCCGCGCCGACGGCTCGGGCTCCCCGCAGTGGCCTCGGGGTGCTCGGGTTGGGGGCGGGCGGCGCAGAGCCGTGGGTGGGGGGCGCGGCTGGAGGCGGGTGCGGCGGCGTCGAGCTCCTGGGGCGGCCGGAGGAGGGGCTCCGGGCCGGGCCCCTGGGCACCGCAGGACGCGCGGACCGAGCCGGCGCCGGGCACCAGCAATGACAAGCCGCCTGCTCACCCCTTTCCCCCGCGTACCCGCTCCGGGAGGGGGGCGGCGGGCACGCGCAAAACCCGGCCCGGAGCCGCCGCCCGGGACCGGCAGCCGCAACCTGCCGGGGCGCACAGGGGCCGGCCAGAAAACCCGGACTGGACTTTGCTTCCTTTAGCCTCCTCGAGCCCCTCTGGAAAAGCTGGGAGAGGGAAGGCGACGTACTGAGTTCCTGCGTTGCAGCAGGGAATGGGGTGGGGGTAGGGGGCCGGGAGGACGGGCGCTAAGAAGACTCGGAGCGGACTTTGACCGCAGTAAAGTAGAGGAAAGGCACTGAGCCGGGTGAAGGGAGAAATAAAAAACCCGGGTTGGATTACACAGAGGGGACGAACGGGGGAGGAGAGCTGCGACAGGACCGAAGGCACCCAGGGTCGGCAAATTTTGTGCCGGATTCTTCCTCGGGAGACGGAGTAATGCGTCATGCCTAATGCAGTGGGAACAAGCAAGACATGGCCTAGAGTTTCGGGACCTGGGGTGGCAGGGGGCTCCGGAAGGGGGCTCCTTAGAGACTGAGGCTGCCCTAGTCTTACTGGCAGCGACGTGTAAGGGGGAGGGGCAAAAAGAGGGCTGGACCCCGGCGTCAGTTGGTCCGGAGCGAGGGCTCCACCAACGCGGGCAGGTAGAAGCGGCTTCAGGATCCAGGGGCTAAGCGAAGGGAACGCGCTGAGGCAGCCGCTACCCTGGGAGACCAGACCTACAATCAGACGCGAGGGCGGGACGCAAAGCCAGGACTGGAGTCCGCAGGACGGGACGAGACCCCAGCCGAAGGTCCCGGGCAACCGGACAAGGGCTCGAGCTGACCGGGCGGCAGGAGCGGGGAGGGGAGTGCTAGGGAGAGGTTAGTATCTATAAACGCCTCAAACGTCTCACTTTGGAAGGTGCGGGGGTCTGGGGAAGAAAGAAAAAATTGAATTTTAGGTACTCAGCAAGAGCAAAAATCCGGTGTGGATTTCCACAGCCTTGCAACTGCACTGCCGCTGGTGGACTTGAAGTAGGACAAGGAACAGAGCGGGTTCCTAGGCATCTAGCCGAGTGAGGCGAGGGGCAGGTTTCAGGCTGGGGCTGCAGAGGGAGCCCCGCACCCCCAGGGCTGGAAAGGCAGTCCGACCTGGCTTGGATCCCCGGAGCCAGAAGTGTGACTGCCAAGACCCACAATGGGGGCTATAAAACCAGGCCCCAGGCCAAAAATAGGCACCTCAGCAGAATAGACAACTCAAGTGCTGATTGGGGGCTAGGGAAAAAGGGATGGGGGGTGGGCTACAGGAAGGTCCTGAGAGGTAAGATACGGTTAGGATCTCAGGAGACCGACCTGGAAGGTAGGCTGCTGGCTCCATTTTATGAAAGATGGGCGCAATTCTGAGACTGATGGATGGGAGGAGCAAATCCCTGGCTTGGATTCTTGGGGAAGGACGCCTAAATAGTAAAGCAGCCAGCTCCTGCAAAGTCCAAAGGCAGAGCTGAATCTTGGCAGACCCAGAGTGGGCAAACAGTGAGGTGTGGAAGCAGAGGTAGGGAGACGGGGGCTAGTACAGATAAATCTGGATATGGATTATAGAGGAAGGGGACAGGCAAGATGGGGAGAGAGGCTAACTCCAGTCTCTCTGTGTCCAGGGAAGAGAATGCATTACCACCCAAGCTTGGTTTTGCAGAATGGGTGAGGTATCAGGAAGGAGTGTGGAAATACCAACAGGAGGGCTTGGATGGCAAATAGAAGTTGAGGCCAACTTAGATGAAAAGCATATCTCAAAAAGCCTACATTGAACATCTGCAAGGAAAATAATCTAATCTCAGAGTCCTTTTGGAGAAGCATGTCCTCGTGGCTGAATTTAGGGAAAGGCAGACACCAGACTCCCAGGTTAGTTGGCTGGGTGAACAGGGGTAACCTACTGCCCTCTCCTCCCCTGTTATGGACGACCTGCATTTCAGGACTGGGCAGGGATTCTTATACCCCAGAATCTAGGCCAAATCTGGCCTCCAGACTTTGGAGTGGAGGGAGTAGGTGAGCCATCTTTGTTTTCTCTTTACGCCATGGGCTTTGAATCTGGGTGGCCAGGCCCTATAGCTGGATCTGAATGACCAAATTCCAAAGACATAGAGGTTGGTGGTTGTAAAAAGGAGCCCATCCGTTTGGTTGACTGCTGATCGACTGGTTATGGGGTCGGGGTATCCCACCTCTCCACGCCTCAATTTCCCACCTTGAGATATATTGACAGCACTTGGTAGGACCCATGGAAGACTTTGGAGTGCTGGGAAATGGGGGTAGTGCCTCAAGGGCAACCAGGATACTCTCCCCCCATATCCAGAAATCCAGCAGGATTGAAAGCAGGAAAGATCGTGCAGCCCCGGGGAAGCTGAGCAAGCACCTCAGGAGCCCTTTGGCTCCAAGTCTCCTCCCACTACCCCAGCCCTGGGCCCTGAGCAACCCACACTGCTCCCGCTGCGGAGCGACCCTAAGAACTTACAAGCTTGCCTACGAGGTGGTTCTAGCATGCATTCTCCAGAAGCTCCGCGAAGGGGTGGATTTTACTTATATGAGAGGAAGGAGAGGCATGCTTTAAGGGACCCCCGGTTCATTTTGGAAAAATCCCTGCCAGGATCACAGCTACCCTCCAGGCCCTCTTGCTTCTCCCAATGCCCGCCAGGGTCAGCGGAGCGTCCCTGATCGCAGCGGGATAGCTTCGCCAGCTCCATTCCATCCAGTTCTTCTTGAACCCGCTGGCTAAGGGCCCAGATGGCAAAGGATGGGCAGAGGCTGGGGACGCGAAGAAGCCCCGGCGCCCCCAGACACCTTACTGCGACCCTCGGCTGCGCAGCCGCAGCGGAGGCCGAGTCAGCCGCCGGACTCGATTCCTGACGCGATCGCGCGCGCGCAGTCTCGTCCGGGCCCTGGCTGCCTCGCGCCCCCGAACGCCCTACTTCTTACTTCCGGGGCGCTCCTCGTCTCGCGCACCCTACTTTGCTCCTCTGGACTCCCCCGTGGGTGCCTAGGATACCCCACGTTCTGTGTACCCCACCTTCTGTGCACCCCGTACCAGAAAAAAACCACACCTAGTGTGTCCTGCACCTACGGCACCCCAAGTTCTGATCATCCCAGATGTTGCGTGCATCTACCTGCTGCACACCTAGCACCTCCGGCACCTGGGCTTCAGACACAGCTAGGCCCACCTGTGCCCTCCGTGTGCTGTGCCTGCTGATCCGGTCGCCTACGCTGAGCCTCCAGGGTGCCTTGCTTTTCCCTCTGTCCCAGGTGCTCGGCATCCTCAGGCCTAGACCCCTCGCCCCGGGTGCCCTGCCTCAGGCTCCGTAGGCCCTGTGTGCAGGGCCAGTCCCTGTAATAAGTGGGGGTGGTGGGGATGGGGACAGAAAATGGGAATAAATCACATTCCTGGACTCGGGGAAACAAGCCAACTCTCAGACCTCAACTGCCCACCAGGTGTCTGTGGTCCGGCTTTTCCTAGACCCCACTCCACACACGACTGCACAACCCTGAGCAATCCGTTCATGTATTAGCTCCTTTTTAATCCTTATACAGAGCACCCCGTACATGCCCTTAGTGCAGGTGCGGTGCTAGGCATTGAGGATACCCTGGTGCCCCCAGAACAGCACTGGAAGCCCTCTCAGGGGCATCCTGGCTCTTGACACAGAAGGCATGATGGAATTAGCACTGGAAAGTAAGCAAGATGCCAGGGAAGCGAATGGTGAACCTGTCTGAGTCTTGAGTGGTATGTGGGTAGAGTTCTGTGTGCCCCTGGCCCTCCTAGAGGCACCTTGTACCCCATCTTGGACAATGTCTGAGCCCCATCCCATCCTATGCCTTCATGCAAGGTAAGAAAGTCTCAGAATTGGGCTGGTAGGATAGGGTAGGGGTGGGGATTAATTCCAACTGCTGCCTTAGGTGAAGGAACCAGTTAGTCAACAAACATTTATTAAGCATGTCCTGTGTGCCAGTCTGTGTGCTAGGTGCTGGGCACACAGCAGTGAACAAGGCAGACGAGATTCTCTGTTCCTGAGGCTAACATTCTAATCAGAAAGACATGAGAAATCAGACAAAAGATGTAGGACATCAGATGATGGTAAGTGCTGTAGAGAAAATTAAGGGAGACCGAGGCAGTGGTGATGGCTGCAGTTTTAGACAGGGGAAGTTGGGAAAGCATTCCCTGAGAAGGTGTTATTTGGATAAAAACTTGAGATAAGGGAGGAGTCATGGGAGGATCTGGGGGGAGGGCATTCCAGGTGGAAGGAACAGCCTGTGCAAAGGTCCTGAGGCAAAAACAATGCTGGGTGTTCATAGGATCCATGAGAGGGCCTGTGTAGCTGAGGGGAGTCAGTGAGGGGGAAAGAAGGAGGAGGTGAGGGCAAGGAGGTGACAGGGCAGACTGAGCTGGCCTAGTGGGCTTCAGGGAGAACTCTGATTTTTGCTTGGAGCAAGGTAGGAGCGATGGAAGTTTCTGAGCAGAAGAGGGAGGTGCCCTGACTCAGATTCACAGGTGCCCTGTGGCTGCTGTTGGCGGGCTGGGGGCAGATGGTGGGGGGCAAGACCAGCAACTAGGAGACCAGGGAGGAGGTGACTGCACTAGTCTGATCCATGGGCGATGCTGGAAGTAGGACGAGAGGTGACAGTGGGGGTGACAGTGGATTCTGGGTGGCCTGAGGGAAAAGGGAAAAACTCAGGAGTACTGATGCTGTCTTTGTGTTGAAGACGTCAACATTTTGTTCATTATGGATTTCTTTTGCATGAATTTTTTTTTAAATATTGCATTGAAGGATGATTTAATGGCTGAGGGTTTTTTTTGTTTGTTTGTTTGTTTTACCTCACCATGGTCCTGACCCTGGTTCCAGGCCCAGTTCTGGAAGCCTAGGATATGATGGCGAATAAGAGACACAAAGTTATTGTCTTCCTGGAGCTTACATTTTACTGGGGAGGCTGATGATTGACGAGTAGCAAGAAGAAAACTTCAAGAGAGTGATCAATGCTGTGAAGGAAAAACAATGAGGAAGCATGCAGCTGGGTATAGGTGAGTGTGACTTAGGCTAAGGTCGGGGTGGTGTCTCTGAGGAGCCCTGAAAGCTGAGAAGGAGCCTATACTGTGCCATCCAAGAAAAGGGAACAGCAAGTACAAAGGTCCTGTGGTTGGAACTGGCAGGACTATTTGAAAAACACAAAGGGCCAGCATGGTGGGACCATCAGGCACAGCCTCAGAGGCCGTGGGGAGGGTTTGGACTAGATTCTCAGTGCCTGGGGATGGAGGGGAAGGGTTATGAGCAGGGGGATGGCATGTTCTCATTTGAATGTTTAACAGGTTATGAAGGCAGGTCCTCAGTAAATACAGCAGGAAATTACCATGTGATCCAGCAAGTCCGCTTCTAGGTATGTACCTTAAAGAATTGCAAACAGGTGCCCAAATAGATTCTTCTACACCAGTGTTCACAGCAGCATTCTTCACACGAACTAGAAGATGGAAACAACACAAATGTACATGGATGGGTGAACTGATAAGCAAGAGAATCTTATTCATCCATAAGAAGAAATGAGTCCTGCTACAGGCTACAATGTGGATGAACCTTGAAGACGCTATGCTGAGTGAAAGAAGCCAGACACAGAAGGCCAGATATTCCACTTATATGAACTGTCCAAGAATGGGTAAATGCATAGAGGCAGAGCAGATTAGGGGTTGCCAGGCGCTTGGGGAGGGGGAATGGGGAGTGACTACTTATGCAGACAAGTTTCCTTTGGGATAATGAAAACATCTGGGGACTCAGTAGAGGTGGTGGTTGCCCAACACTGAGAATGTACTCAGTGCCACTGCATTGTTCACTTATAATAGTGGTTACTTTTATACTATGTGAATTTTACCTCAATTAAAACAAAATTAAAGGGGGCATTTGAGAGAGGGCTGGGAGACTGGGGAGGTGGCCACCACCATCAATCCAGGTGAGAGGTGATGGAGGTCAGATTTGAGGCATATCCTAGATTCAGACCAACAAGACTACTTAACCTTTGCATTCCCCATCAGGATTGCTCAAATGTCACCTCTTGACCACACAATTGAAAACTGCAAACACTTCCAGAAAGCGAGAGTCCAGGAAGCCAACCCAGTCCAGATAGGACTGGTGATGGATTTCCAGTTAGGCATCAACGGGGAAAGGCGCCCAATTGGGCTGCGCTTCCCTCCCCGGCCGCTAGAGGCCGCTGTCCCGCTGCTCTGAGGCAACCAGGTGAGGAGGCCCCGCCCCTTCCCGCAGGTGCTCGGGAGGCGCGCCGCAGGGCCAAGGGAGGAGAGCTAAGAGGGCCAGGGGACAGAGTGAGGGTTTAAAGGAGAGAGCTGAGCATGTCTGAGTTAGGGACTGCTGAGAGGAAGGAGAGAGAAAAAGCCCTAGGAAGTCTGGAGGTGTGAAAAGGTGAGAAGAGAAGGAGACAGCAGAGTGCAGGTGTGAGGCAGCGAGAGCAGGGGGCCTGGCCAATAGCGGAGTTGGGAGGAAGCCACCCGGGGCATGGTGCAACGTTGGGGGAGGGAGACAGGTGAGCAGGTGAGGAGTCAGGGAAGAATCCTGGAGGTGAAGAATGACCTTGGGAACTTGACAGGTACGTTTGGACAGTGCAAGGGGATGGCTGGACTGTTTGGGGGTGGGCCTGGCCTGTGGGGAGTTAAGGACCCCAGGAAGGGGCTGTGCACTTTGCCAACCTTGGCTGGTATGGATGTGGGGTGGAGGGAATCTCAGGCCCTGACCCCTTGGGCCAGCAATGGAGAAAGAGCTTCTGAGGAGTGAGGCGGGAATGCCAACCTCATCCTTGGAGCCCGGCTGCTTCTGCAGAAGGTATGGGCAGGTAAGGGGTTTGTTCAACCTGGCCAGAGCACTTGCCCTCTGTCTGCATCATGCCCCATGCCCTATGGCCAGTGTTCACTGTGCATTGAGCTGGGTGGGGGCAAATGCCAGTGAAGGAGACACATGTAGTCCTGGCTGGCCAGGAGCTGGCAAGGACTTGTCAGTGTTAGTGTGGGGGGTGGAAGACAGGTAGGAACTGTGGGACAGTACACCTGGGGCACCCTCCCCAGTCAGGTGTTCCCAGAGAAGCCTGCCTAAGGGAAGTGGCCCATAAGCAGAGAGCAGGAACCTGCGGTCTGAAAGATAGAAGACCCTGGACCTTCTAGTGGTCTGGGCAGAGAGGAGGTTCTGAGGATATTGCCCAGAAAAAGGCCCGCAGGGTTTAGGCTGCAGTAGGGCAATAGGGAGTGGTGGGGCCTGAGGCTTGTCTGAAGGGGCTGAAGGCTTGGTGAGACGGTGGAACTGGAAGGTGAGAAGAGAGCTGAGGGTCCCCTAGAGGTCAAGGTCAGAACCACAGGAAGGTACAAAGTGACCCCCAACCTTGCATGGGCCCAGAGCAGGAGCTGCAAAGCCAAATGGCAACCAGGGTGCAAAAACGTAGGAATGGGGCAGGTGTGAGGCAGCGAGGAGGGAGGGTGGCAGCTGTGGGGAGCTGGAAATGCACCCTCCTTTCAATAGGGTAGCTGCTTGCTACTACTCAGCTCCAGCTGAGTGCTACCACGTGGGAAGTCAGGCTCTGAATTGCCAGAATGGATTCTTCAAGAAAAGCCAGAAGTCAGGGTTTTTGAGCAAAATTCCCTGAGCTTTGACTATCACACACTGATGTACTAATGTTAAATTGCTCCCACCCAGCAATTCCATCCCTGAATTTATTCCCAATGAGAACAGGCCCCATTATGCCCCCTCAAAAAACAGGGACATGGATGTTCACAGCAGCTTCATTCATTACCACCAGATGCTGGACACCGACCAAGTGACCAGGGACTGGCAAATGGAAACTAACTTGGAGTGTATTCCCACAATGGGATACGACACATCAATGAAAAAGAACAAATCATGAATGCATGTCCAGTACTGTGCATGATGCAATTTGAAAATACTGTTGAGCAAGAGCAGAAGACACGAAAATGATACCCTGTATGACCCCATTCCTATGACCTTCAAAGCAGGCAGAAGTGACCTGTGGCATCAGGGGAACCCAAGTTTTCCTGACTGGACCATTGACATTTGGGGCTGGTTGATTCTTTGCTGTGGGGGATGGTCCTGTACATTGGAGGGAAACCTCCCTGGTCTCTCCCCATGAGATACCAGTAGTGTATCCCCAGTTGTGACAAATGTCCCTTTAGGGGGGGCACAGTCACCTTTAGGTGAGGACTCTGGGAAAGTGATACTTCACGGCAGGACATTTACTGGAAAATGGTCCTGGATTTTTTATCTGGAGCTTGGTGGTAGTGACATGGTGGAACATATTTTTTAAATTCAGAGCTGTATTCTTAAGAGGTATGTGCTTTACAATAAAAGAGTTAACCCTCCAGCATACGTGACCCTCGAAAATATGCCAAAGGAAAGAAGCCAGACACAAAAGGCCCCAGATTGCCTGGCTCCATTTATATGAAATGTCCAGAACAGGCAAATCCGTAGAGACAGAAAGCAGGTCCATGGTTACCAGGGGCTGGGTGAGAGGGGTGGGGAATGATTGCTCCTGGGGACTGGGTCTCCTTTGGGGTGATGGGAATGTTCTGGAATTAGATACCGGTGTTAGTTGCACAACACTTGGAGTATGCAAAAATGCACTGAATCTGTAAACTTAAAAATGGCTAATCTTCTGTTCCATGAATTATGCCTCAAAAAGGAATTATGAAGAAGAAAGTTAGCCCACACAGGCTGTATGAGACGCTATAGGTCCCTGGGGCCAGCTTGGCCATTTTGCAATGGAGAGAGGGGCCAATGGGAAGGTGAGACATCACCATCCCGGAGAAAGTGCAGAGCCAGAGCTGTGGGCATTCTGGGTGAGGGCAGGCTGAGGCGACTCGGAGGCAAAAAAAAGTATGTCTCGGCTCAGGGGAGCGCTCCCTCTTAACCCAACCTGTCAGCCCTGGAAAGAAATCAGCCGGCAGGTCGGAGGCCAGCCACGAACTGCTGAAGGGAGTACAGAGCTCTGACGTGTGGAAGAGAAATGACAACCGCTCACCCAGCCCCAGCTGCCACAGAGGAATGATAAAGTGGTGCTTGGCTTGCTGGGGTGTTCTCTGCAAGCTTGGGGGAAATTGGAGCGCTCTCCCCAGCTACCCCAGAGCCCACAGAGGACTTCCTGAGGGCCACTGGATGACATGTGGACCTCCCCCTCCCTCCTGGCCCGAGACCCTCCCCCGCCACTGCGAGCCAGGGGGCAGAGGGTGGGAGTCTAGGGTTTGGGTCTCCACTAGCTTCAAAAAATTGAATGACTGAAGAGAGAAAGCAAGCAAACAAAGACTCCAGAAAGCTGTGGGGCCTGTAACGGGCTCAGTGTTGGCCCCCGCAAGAGAATGACCGTGTTGGAACCTGTGAATGGAACCTAATTTGGAAAAAGGGTCTTTGCCAATGTAATTAAGGATTTTGTGGTGAGATCAGCCTGGTTCGGGGTGTGCCTTAAATCCAATGACAAGAGGGGGTGAAGCCAGAGGAGAAGGCCATGTAAAGACAGAGGCAAGAGCACTGTGGCCATAAACCAATAGCCACCGGAAGGGAGCCTCCTTCCTTAGAAGGATTCTGAAGGGACTCAGCCCTGCCGCCACCCTGACTTCAGCTTCTGGTCCCCAGACTGTGAAGGAATCAATTTATTGTTTTAAGCAACCCTGTCGGTGATACTTTGTTACAAAAGCTCTAGGAAACTGAACACAAGCCCTGATATTCAATTTCACAAACATTTATGATGCCCCTGCAGGGGCTTGTGGGACAGCTGGGGAGGCAAACACACGAACTGATCCTTCCAATAAGCTGGCATCACCGTTAATGCAGGAGAGCATGGAGGGACAGATATGCAGTGGGTGGAGGGCTGCCTGGGAACTTCACAGGAGAGGTGACAACCCAGAGCCGGGCCTGGAGCATGCCTCAACCTATAGGACACAGCAGGTAATAGAAACACACCAGTCAAGTGACGAAGACCAACCTTATCTGCAATGGCGCGGGGAACCTGCAGCTTCAGTGTCAGGGATACAACATGGAATGGTGGGGACTGTGGCAAAACATGAAGATTATTAACATTTATCACCACTTGCTAAGCCCTTTCCTTATATAGTATTAACTTGTTTAATCCTCGCATCAACTATAGAAGAGGGTACTGCCATTATCCCCATTTACCAGGTGGGTTGACTGAAGAACAGGGATTTATAAAGTGTGGACAGATGTAGGGAACCATAAGGACTAATGCCACTCCTTGGGCTCATGAAAATGGGGAGTTGTTAGCACCCCTAGGTTTAAGAGGGGAGAGAAGAGAGCAGTGGTAAGAATCTGGGGACACTGCAGGCTAGGTGGATAGCCAGGACCTGTGGCCTCTTAGGAAATTACCATGTGATCCAGCAAGTCCGCTTCTAGGTATGTACCTTAAAGAATTGCAAACAGGTGCCCAAATAGATTCTTCTACACCAGTGTTCACAGCAGCATTCTTCACACGAACTAGAAGATGGAAACAACACAAATGTACATGGATGGGTGAACTGATAAGCAAGAGAATCTTATTCATCCATAAGAAGAAATGAGTCCTGCTACAGGCTACAATGTGGATGAACCTTGAAGACGCTATGCTGAGTGAAAGAAGCCAGACACAGAAGGCCAGATATTCCACTTATATGAACTGTCCAAGAATGGGTAAATGCATAGAGGCAGAGCAGATTAGGGGTTGCCAGGCGCTTGGGGAGGGGGAATGGGGAGTGACTACTTATGCAGACAAGTTTCCTTTGGGATAATGAAAACATCTGGGGACTCAGTAGAGGTGGTGGTTGCCCAACACTGAGAATGTACTCAGTGCCACTGCATTGTTCACTTATAATAGTGGTTACTTTTATACTATGTGAATTTTACCTCAATTAAAACAAAATTAAAGGGGGCATTTGAGAGAGGGCTGGGAGACTGGGGAGGTGGCCACCACCATCAATCCAGGTGAGAGGTGATGGAGGTCAGATTTGAGGCATATCCTAGATTCAGACCAACAAGACTACTTAACCTTTGCATTCCCCATCAGGATTGCTCAAATGTCACCTCTTGACCACACAATTGAAAACTGCAAACACTTCCAGAAAGCGAGAGTCCAGGAAGCCAACCCAGTCCAGATAGGACTGGTGATGGATTTCCAGTTAGGCATCAACGGGGAAAGGCGCCCAATTGGGCTGCGCTTCCCTCCCCGGCCGCTAGAGGCCGCTGTCCCGCTGCTCTGAGGCAACCAGGTGAGGAGGCCCCGCCCCTTCCCGCAGGTGCTCGGGAGGCGCGCCGCAGGGCCAAGGGAGGAGAGCTAAGAGGGCCAGGGGACAGAGTGAGGGTTTAAAGGAGAGAGCTGAGCATGTCTGAGTTAGGGACTGCTGAGAGGAAGGAGAGAGAAAAAGCCCTAGGAAGTCTGGAGGTGTGAAAAGGTGAGAAGAGAAGGAGACAGCAGAGTGCAGGTGTGAGGCAGCGAGAGCAGGGGGCCTGGCCAATAGCGGAGTTGGGAGGAAGCCACCCGGGGCATGGTGCAACGTTGGGGGAGGGAGACAGGTGAGCAGGTGAGGAGTCAGGGAAGAATCCTGGAGGTGAAGAATGACCTTGGGAACTTGACAGGTACGTTTGGACAGTGCAAGGGGATGGCTGGACTGTTTGGGGGTGGGCCTGGCCTGTGGGGAGTTAAGGACCCCAGGAAGGGGCTGTGCACTTTGCCAACCTTGGCTGGTATGGATGTGGGGTGGAGGGAATCTCAGGCCCTGACCCCTTGGGCCAGCAATGGAGAAAGAGCTTCTGAGGAGTGAGGCGGGAATGCCAACCTCATCCTTGGAGCCCGGCTGCTTCTGCAGAAGGTATGGGCAGGTAAGGGGTTTGTTCAACCTGGCCAGAGCACTTGCCCTCTGTCTGCATCATGCCCCATGCCCTATGGCCAGTGTTCACTGTGCATTGAGCTGGGTGGGGGCAAATGCCAGTGAAGGAGACACATGTAGTCCTGGCTGGCCAGGAGCTGGCAAGGACTTGTCAGTGTTAGTGTGGGGGGTGGAAGACAGGTAGGAACTGTGGGACAGTACACCTGGGGCACCCTCCCCAGTCAGGTGTTCCCAGAGAAGCCTGCCTAAGGGAAGTGGCCCATAAGCAGAGAGCAGGAACCTGCGGTCTGAAAGATAGAAGACCCTGGACCTTCTAGTGGTCTGGGCAGAGAGGAGGTTCTGAGGATATTGCCCAGAAAAAGGCCCGCAGGGTTTAGGCTGCAGTAGGGCAATAGGGAGTGGTGGGGCCTGAGGCTTGTCTGAAGGGGCTGAAGGCTTGGTGAGACGGTGGAACTGGAAGGTGAGAAGAGAGCTGAGGGTCCCCTAGAGGTCAAGGTCAGAACCACAGGAAGGTACAAAGTGACCCCCAACCTTGCATGGGCCCAGAGCAGGAGCTGCAAAGCCAAATGGCAACCAGGGTGCAAAAACGTAGGAATGGGGCAGGTGTGAGGCAGCGAGGAGGGAGGGTGGCAGCTGTGGGGAGCTGGAAATGCACCCTCCTTTCAATAGGGTAGCTGCTTGCTACTACTCAGCTCCAGCTGAGTGCTACCACGTGGGAAGTCAGGCTCTGAATTGCCAGAATGGATTCTTCAAGAAAAGCCAGAAGTCAGGGTTTTTGAGCAAAATTCCCTGAGCTTTGACTATCACACACTGATGTACTAATGTTAAATTGCTCCCACCCAGCAATTCCATCCCTGAATTTATTCCCAATGAGAACAGGCCCCATTATGCCCCCTCAAAAAACAGGGACATGGATGTTCACAGCAGCTTCATTCATTACCACCAGATGCTGGACACCGACCAAGTGACCAGGGACTGGCAAATGGAAACTAACTTGGAGTGTATTCCCACAATGGGATACGACACATCAATGAAAAAGAACAAATCATGAATGCATGTCCAGTACTGTGCATGATGCAATTTGAAAATACTGTTGAGCAAGAGCAGAAGACACGAAAATGATACCCTGTATGACCCCATTCCTATGACCTTCAAAGCAGGCAGAAGTGACCTGTGGCATCAGGGGAACCCAAGTTTTCCTGACTGGACCATTGACATTTGGGGCTGGTTGATTCTTTGCTGTGGGGGATGGTCCTGTACATTGGAGGGAAACCTCCCTGGTCTCTCCCCATGAGATACCAGTAGTGTATCCCCAGTTGTGACAAATGTCCCTTTAGGGGGGGCACAGTCACCTTTAGGTGAGGACTCTGGGAAAGTGATACTTCACGGCAGGACATTTACTGGAAAATGGTCCTGGATTTTTTATCTGGAGCTTGGTGGTAGTGACATGGTGGAACATATTTTTTAAATTCAGAGCTGTATTCTTAAGAGGTATGTGCTTTACAATAAAAGAGTTAACCCTCCAGCATACGTGACCCTCGAAAATATGCCAAAGGAAAGAA